CTGGACAGAGAGGTGTTCAATATAAGTAATTCAAATAAGATGAATGCAAACTTAGTAAATGGTAGGTTAGTATTATGCAGTTCCAGATTTCTCAATCTTAAATTTGACTGCATAAAGAATATTGTATCGATTCAGATCCAGGTTTCAAGCAGGCAGATGCAGGATATTTAAATCTATTGTAAAATGCCATACATCACTCCAGTAGTGACAATATGCATATGTAGCAAAAGATAGCAAATTCACCCATCGTTCACTCAAAAACATTCATCAGTCATCATTCATTCTAAATGTTGGTTAGCAATGAGATATTCAGCATATTTTAGTGTCAGAAAATTACAGTAGTGTCAATACTTTGTATCCTGTGCACTGCAACTGTAAGAAAGAAAATGCAGTACCAATCTTCTCAGAATTTAAGCTGGTTTCAGAGGCACTATTAGGAAATGAACAGTGGTTTCACAACATCATTTTATCATTTTGTAATCAGGTTAGAGGCCAATCATACATGGTCATTGCTGCAAAGTAGATGAGGTCAGAGTTCCTCCCCACTAGTATAAGGTTATCAGCTTAAATACCTTTAATAGCCTTTTCTGAGAGGGAAAAAATAGGATATGATTAAAGTAAACTTTAAAGGAACATATCTCTTAATTTCTGGAGTTGCGTGGAAATTAAACACGCAATATCCGTTAAAAGCAGCGAGAACTGTATGTCTAAATCCTATTAAACTGTGAAAAAAAATGAAGAAGATGGAATGCCTTTCTGTGGAATAACTCTGATGATATAAGAAACATCTCAGTGCTCCCCGAGGGCTTTGCTGAAGGATGGGCCCTGCTGTATTGGGCGGTATTTAACCTTAGCAATAGGCAAAGCAGACTCGAGCCATGACTTACTGCCCTCTGTGATAGCAATAGACCCAAAAATTGTGCCTGTGTTTGCAACTGTGGAATGCCTGGGTTAAGACTATAAAGAAACTATCAAAAAATGTGACTGTATCAAAAATTCACTGACCACAGGGACTGATTCTTTACCTTTATTTGTGACTCATGTGGAAGCAAACAAGTGTTGAACGTGTCCAGCAGCTGCAGAATAAGGAACCTCCTATCCTTGTGATTACAGAACTTCTTTAAAAGCATGTTGAAATACAACTGAGCTAGAATGAAAGAAAAATGAAATGTGTTGTGAAAAATCATCCGCATATCTCTTCCCCCCCCTTTTTTTTTGACTGAAGTATGTTATTTATAAGTGAGCACGTTATTAAAAACTGAGCATAGCACTACAGCCAGTAAAAGACAATAGACCAAATGTTACTGTTACACACAGCTGGAGTGGATTGATAAAACCAGCACATTGTCTTTGCTCACATAGTTTAAAGTCTAAATAAAGATATATGATCAAAAGAGTAAATTGGCTCAGCAAGGTGGCGGAGAAAGGGCAAAAGGTGAAAAAAAGCTGTACCGGCAAGTTATAAAATCCATAATCGGATAAATAAGGTGTTTTTGCTGGGTGCCATAAGCTTTAAAAAAGTGATCTACAGTTTGTTTGCGTTACAGAAATGAAGGATTTTCAAAACAGCATTTGGAAAGAAAAAGAATGATACTATTCCCTAAAAATCTACTCGGTGCATTAAAATGAGTCAATGCTCACATATATGTTATAATTCTCCTTTTTTGCATGCTCCAGTCAACTGCGAAAAAGGTAGAGGTTATTGATATTATGTCATTTGACTGAACAGCTCACTAGCAATTTATCATTTACACAAATAAGTGCATTTTTCACATTTATCTTTTCAACCATGTGTTTTTTACAAAAATTAGAGTTGAGAACCTAGCATACCATTAAAAGTGCAAGGAAGTTCTTTATGAAGAAATCCAATGATTTTTTTTTTTTTCTCTCACTTCAGCCAAACCCTGAGGGAACAAGTGGCAACTTTGGAGGAAAAACAAAAAGAACAAAAAAGCAAGCAAGCAAGTGGCTAAACATACTCTACAGAAAAAACTTGCCCAATTACCTGAAAATATAGGTAAAACTGGGTAAAATTTCTGCTTTTGCAAGGTTCCAAGTATATTATTTGGCTAAACATTAGTTATTCCAATATAAAGTTAGGCATGAATTTAAAGTGGCAATGCTCTAGTAAAATAATTCCGTGTGCTCTACTTGTTCCAGAATAACAATAGTCACATGTGGAATTATTTGGTAATGGATAGAGCTGAATAGATATTTTGGAATATCTGAATAGATATTTTGGAGTGTCTTTGTGTAAAGCAGTTCTTGGTGGTTTAAAGACAGGAAGAAATAGGATAGGATAAGGAAAGAAATCTGTGATAAAGCAGGGAGCAAGTGAAAAGAAATAAAAATTTGCAAGTTGTGGGGAACTTTAAAGGAGCGGCTGGGGGAGCTACCCTGAGCCTGGGCCGACACTGTCCCTAGGAAATTGTTCTACCCTTGTAAAGCATAGAGACCAAGTGTTTGATAAGATTTTATGTTCCCAATACAGCTATTTTTAAAGTTCTGTGAATAAGAACTGCAACCTGCCTGGCTAGGGAACTCTGTTTAGTATGGCTGTTAGTGTATAAATCATCTTTTAAAAAGAAAGCAGCTTCCTTTTTGCTGCTCTGTGGCAAAATCCACATCAACAACCCCACTAAATATCATCAATAATCCCTTGTATCTTGAATCAAAACTATACTTTCAGTGATGTGTGTTAAGAAAACCAAATTATTGCAAAAATCAAACACAGTGTAAAAATACAATAAACATTCCCATGGAAGGAAAGTAACCTTTTTCTGATTTATCAGAATTCATTTCCATTGAATTCTCAATGCCCACTTAGTAGACGTTAGCTGGTGTCATAAAAAATTGTTCTAGTTCCTGCTGACCTGATTGGGAGCAGAATCAGAGCCTGGATTCGTGGATTTTGAAGAACAGAGCGCGATTCAGAGGTGAAAACTAAATGAACTGCTCCTCTGTATCCTAAGAACATGAAAACACAGTGCAACCCTATTACTCAGTGAGGATCTGTTCACTGGAAAATCACCGAGGGAATAATGAGGGGGGAAGAACAAGAGGAGGAGGAAAAGGTGAGAAGAAAAGAGAAAGAGGGCAAGAGAGAGTAAAAAGGAAAAGGGAATTTGCTTTTGATGTCACAGCTCTATCAACTCATGCATTTTTCATGGATACCAACTAGTGCTAAAATAATGCTGGGCTCCCAAACATCGTGATACTGGCTTAAAAATAATGAGATTTACAAAAATTCAAAACTCAGAGCTTGTCTTTTCCTTGGAACTTGTAAGCCTTTCGGGTTCTCATATTCAAGCTTTTCGCTCAAAGTTGAGATTTAGAAATGTAATTATTTTTAAGGAGACCTGGGGTTCCAATTTAATCACATCTGCTGAAGAGCTAGAGCTTAAAACAAAGCTAAGTGTTGCAAAATCTCACTGTAATCATAAGAGCTGGCAACACTAAATGTCATAACCATGGCATACTGTACAGTTTTGATGCAAAACGAACTAAAAATTACCAGATGTTAGGTACGAGTGCATTAACTCAAGTTGCATTTGTGCCCTTTGCTAGAAAGTAATTAAAAACTGAAAGTGAAGCCAGCTGGCAAATGAAAATAAACTGGTAGGACTCAGGAGTTAACCTGTTTTGTAGCTCAAGCTTTGTATTTTGTAAAGTTAACTAGAAGAAGCCAGCATTAACATTTCTCAGTGCTTTTGATTAAAACCTGATCACTTTTTAAACAAAGTAATTCATGGATTGGATGTAAACATTCTTTTAGGTTTTAGTCACACAGGCTACAGCAGTGCCGATCTTTGCCTTTACTTGCAGAGGTAAAGAAAACAACCTCTGCACAGGTGCAGGGAACAGCACGGGACCTTTATTTGCAGAAATTTACAATTTAAGTTGCAAACTTAAACTACTTAGGTATCAGCCTTCAGCTGTTATTCACCTCAGTAGTTCCGCGGAGTTTCTACAATTATTCTGTAGATTTTTCACGTAAGTGCTGGAGCTTGTGATGATGAACCACAATGGCTGTGGACTTTCTGTGCTTTTATGTCTTCAAGCTGGCTAGCACCCTTAAGAACACAATTAAATTAACACCCCGGTTTTAATTACCAATGGCACTGTAAATGAATTAGTGTTAAAAAAAAAAAGTGGTGAAAAATTAATACACTCGTAAAACCACGTAGTGACGTCTTCCGTGAACTGGAAAAAACCGAGGCAGTTAAGGGGCCCACGTACAACTCTCAGGCTCATCTCGATTCCATACAATCTCCCTTTCGGCAAAACACACCCGTATGCCCCTGTACGCGCTGATAGCGGTACGCTCCTGCGCTTTGGGGCTGCGAGAGACAGACAGACGTCTCCGGCATCGCTCTGTCAAACGCCGGAACCGCTGCGGGTCAGCCGAAGGGAAGAGCCCTGCAGCAGACGCGCCTGCCCTCGCTCGCAGGGCAGGTACTGAGGACAGGGGATCCCCCCGGGACGCCGCGGCTGGCCGTCTCCCAGGGGCCGGTGGTCTCCCAGCGGCTCGGCGGCTGCTCGGCGCCGGTTCGGAAGCGCTGGTAATGCCGGTGGCAGGAGGCGCGGGCGGGCAGCGCCGCCCGCCGC